AATATATATATATATATATTTTTATATATATATATATATATATATATATATATAAAACCTCTCTGTATTTACTTTCAAATCTTGCAATTTGAGAGTATAAAGGGTCATATGCATCTGAATGTAATACCAGGGTAAGCACATCCCAGGGGCTCTCTCCCAGCAGGACCTCTGATCCTTTCAGCTCTGCCTCTGACACTGTCTGTGCTCACACTGAAAACATCTTGAGTGCTGGGAGGACACTGTTATATTTTAATGTAAACAGCTCCTTCTGATGTGAGGGGATCCCTGAAAATACAAAGTAATTTAAAGTTTTCAAGTAATATATAACTGAGGACAGGTCTCTAAGCCTGACTTTTGGGCACCAGAGGAGCACACAACTCCATACACTATTGAGCTGTTTATGTTTGGAGATCCAAACAGCTCATCCTTCAATGATTTCCAAACACTGATGCCAAGTCCAAGCAAGGTGTCAACAGACAGTTGCTAAATTAGGAAGTCCATTCCTTGGTGATAATTTCAAAGTATGATCTAAACCACTTTGGTTTGTCTTGTTAAGATCTGTTCCCTCACTCTGCATTTAACTTCCTTAGCTCCCTTCTCTGACTTCTACAGCCACTTATTTATCTTATTGGTAGATAAAACTGCAAACCTGAGTTCAAAATTTATGCCACAGCTCCCAACATAACTGTAAAATCATTGAGAAAAAAATGAATTTCAGGAGGTTTAGCATCTTCTAACACCAGAAGAAAAAAAAACAACACTACACTCCAGCACAGCATGCATCTGGGTTTTTACTGTCTTCACTTTTGAGAACTGAACTCAACATATCATAGGGAGCGGGAAAGTTTCATAAGGTTTTATATGAAATCCTGACTTGGATCTTCTTCAAAAGCAGACTAAGAAAAAAGGAATTCCCCCATGCTGATGCCAGCAGAGGTCATCAGAAGAGCTGAAAGGTTTAAGTCTTCCATTGCTATCACCCCCTTGCCAGACGCCTGCCACTTGCACAAAGACATGGGGTGCTCAACCCTGGCATGTCCCAGAGCCAGGGGGGAACATGTCACCCCTGGCAGTGGCCTTGACAAACACCTGCCCTCCGCAGAGGGCTGCTGAGAGACTGAAATAAGAGGGTTTCTGCTGGGGTCTGGAGGAGGACTTGGTTTAGCCAGCAGAGATTCTTCTGCCCGTTTCTCCCCACCCACCTAACAACGACAAGCACTTCTGCTCTGCATTCTTCAACTTGGCCTCCAACAACTCATGTCCTTCCAGGAGATGTGCCCGCAGGGAAGGTCCTGCCTCCTGGGGGGCTCTCCCCTTCAGCTTTCGGGGCATTAATTGTCCCTTTTGCGACATTTAACTCCAGGAGTCCTCAATGTACAAGTGTGAACTGCTGCTATTTTCCAAAGGCTTCTAACATGGCCAATCTGAGCAGCCTGCCACAGAAGGGCCAAGGGTATATCCCAATCCAAAGTCACCTTTCTGCACTAATGCAGTTGTAATTTTTCCTGGCCCTGTTATCAGGAGTGACTGATACAGTGCACATCATCTTCTTCACCAGAGAGATCTCCGACGTGGAAAACTTCAGCCCAAAGAGTTTAAAATTTGGTAAAGGGAAAAGAGCACATTAGTGTGATCTTACTCTTAAACTGTCCTAACACAGCATCACTTGTAACTTCAGATATTAAAAATTATATCGTTTACACACCATCAAGCAACTACGTACTGTGAAAAAACAACACTATTCTAACACATATTTTGCTGTCCTACATTATGGTCAGTTTTCCATCCTGGTAATGCACAGAAGAATGCAGTCCAACCAAGCTTAGCATGCACACATCTTTCAGATGAAACCACCAAAACCTGCTGTTCTGTGTAATGCTGCAGTATTTATAAAAAGTGCTATAGAGCACGTGCTGACTGCTCCAGGCACTTGAAGGAAAGAAACAACCAAGCAGTGCTGAGAGTACCTAAACACAAACACACCACACTTCTCCAGGGTAAAGCAGGCAAAGCTAAATATTGTTAAATATAAAATACTACTCCATGGGCAAACTGAGCGTGTCCTGTTGCTACATATGATTAGTGACCACAAGATAAGGAAAAAAAAAAAAAAGACACAACACTGGTGATTACCAGTCCCCATGCAGATCTAGAGGAGCCTTACTCACTCTCAAGGCATGCTAACTTTTAACAAGCAGAACCTGAATTCCTGTGGACTTCAGGCTCGGGAAAGTGCCGGCGTGGGTTCTCTGATGTCTCATAGAAGGGTGAGCTCACGCCAAAGCCACTCTCTATAGAGCATGGTCTCAGAAACCTGTTCTCACAAAGCTCATGAAAAATTTGTTTCCGAGATCTACATATTGTCATATTTAACTGAAATTAGCCAATAAATTCTAAAGTTACTATGAGGACAGCACACACGATTAACAAATCACTTCATGGGGGAACAGAGTTGTTAGACGTGGAACCACGCTGAATTTCTAACGTTCAAAAATTTACAAGGAGCGCAAAAGAACTGTTTTCTGGTTAATCACCCCTAAATAAAGTAAAAACTTGCTTTGTTAAGAATCTCTTAACTGACAGGCGCTGATGGAAGGCGCTGCTATATTTCCCTAGTGCCTCCCCTCCTCGCCTGTCACAGCCTCTCCAAGCAATGGAAACTGCACACCAACACCACTCTGAGATGATTCCTGTGCTCCAGAGAGCCTTCGCCTGCCACCGGGAGCCACGCAGCTCTCCCCAGCCTTTACCGGGGGTGTCAGGGAGCTGTCGAGGCCTCCGGTGTGTGAAGCCCAAAGGGCTTCGAGGTGGGAGTCTCTGGGCAAGCAGAGGCTGGTGTCCTGACCATGGCGGTGTTCACAGCACGGTGGTGAGGCACCGAGGGTAGGAGACGCTTCTCCCGAAGATCTCTGCCACAACCAAGCGCTAGCGCAGAGCCTCCGTGTCTGGAGATGGGAATAAACTCCCACAGAGGAGCCCTCACAGCAAGCTGACTCCACCTGCGCGGGGAGATGCCCCCTCCCCACCTGCCAGCTCCCGGGGACGCGGCGGGCAGCGCGGCCTCCCCTCAGGGACACGCGGGCCGGCCCCGAG